CCGAAGGGCTGCTGTACTGTAGCCCATACAGCTCCCGAAATCGGCCGAGTGGCTCAGTCGAGCCGAAGGCATATGCCTCGGCTCAACTGAGCCAAGGTGAAAGCCGAAGCTGGCCGGCCATTGGCCTGCTACTGACTGCTGGTCTAGGCCAGCTGTCATCTCACGGCTGGCTCCGGCCACTTGCACAGACAGATCAGCGTCCCTGTTACCAGGTAAACAGGGACGCTGATCTCCAGATAGCCCAACTATCCCGGACGCTTTGGGAGTCTCCCGCTATTAGATAGCGGCTCCTGGCCGAGCGGGAGAGAAACACTTTCTCCCGGGAAGTTTTACTCTGCTCGATCGAGCAGAGTAAACCTTTCCCTGCTCTACTGTCTTTTTTTTTTCTTCTGACATCGGAGCCGTTGGCTGCCGTCAGAATAAAAAAACCCAGAAAAAAAAAACAGCATAGGAATGCATAGCTATGCATTCCTATGCTGTTGTTTTTTCCTGTTTTTTTTATACATTCCTACTGGCTATTTCAATTTGCAATTTTGCAATTTGCAATTTGCAATTTTTTATACATTCCTATTGGCTATTTCAATTTGCAATTTTGCAATTTGCAATTTGCAATTTTTTATACATTCCTATTGGCTATTTCAATTTGCAATTTTGCAATTTGCAATTTGCAATTTTTTATACATTCCTATTGGCTATTGCAAAGTGAAATAGCCAATAGGAATATAGCTATGCATTCCTATGCTGTTGTTTTTTCCTGTTTTTTTTATACATTCCTACTGGCTATTTCAATTTGCAATTTTGCAATTTGCAATTTGCAATTTTTTATACATTCCTATTGGCTATTGCAAAGTGAAATAGCCAATAGGAATATAGCTATGCATTCCTATGCTGTTGTTTTTTCCTGTTTTTTTTATACATTCCTACTGGCTATTTCAATTTGCAATTTTGCAATTTGCAATTTGCAATTTTTTATACATTCCTATTGGCTATTGCAAAGTGAAATAGCCAATAGGAATATAGCTATGCATTCCTATGCTGTTGTTTTTTCCTGTTTTTTTTATACATTCCTACTGGCTATTTCAATTTGCAATTTTGCAATTTGCAATTTGCAATTTTTTATACATTCCTATTGGCTATTGCAAAGTGAAATAGCCAATAGGAATATAGCTATGCATTCCTATGCTGTTGTTTTTTCCTGTTTTTTTTATACATTCCTACTGGCTATTTCAATTTGCAATTTTGCAATTTGCAATTTGCAATTTTTTATACATTCCTATTGGCTATTGCAAAGTGAAATAGCCAATAGGAATATAGCTATGCATTCCTATGCTGTTGTTTTTTCCTGTTTTTTTTATACATTCCTACTGGCTATTTCAATTTGCAATTTTGCAATTTGCAATTTGCAATTTTTTATACATTCCTATTGGCTATTGCAAAGTGAAATAGCCAATAGGAATATAGCTATGCATTCCTATGCTGTTGTTTTTTCCTGTTTTTTTTATACATTCCTACTGGCTATTTCAATTTGCAATTTTGCAATTTGCAATTTGCAATTTTTTATACATTCCTATTGGCTATTGCAAAGTGAAATAGCCAATAGGAATATAGCTATGCATTCCTATGCTGTTGTTTTTTCCTGTTTTTTTTATACATTCCTACTGGCTATTTCAATTTGCAATTTTGCAATTTGCAATTTGCAATTTTTTATACATTCCTATTGGCTATTGCAAAGTGAAATAGCCAATAGGAATATAGCTATGCATTCCTATGCTGTTGTTTTTTCCTGTTTTTTTTATACATTCCTACTGGCTATTTCAATTTGCAATTTTGCAATTTGCAATTTGCAATTTTTTATACATTCCTATTGGCTATTGCAAAGTGAAATAGCCAATAGGAATATAGCTATGCATTCCTATGCTGTTGTTTTTTCCTGTTTTTTTTATACATTCCTACTGGCTATTTCAATTTGCAATTTTGCAATTTGCAATTTGCAATTTTTTATACATTCCTATTGGCTATTGCAAAGTGAAATAGCCAATAGGAATATAGCTATGCATTCCTATGCTGTTGTTTTTTCCTGTTTTTTTTATACATTCCTACTGGCTATTTCAATTTGCAATTTTGCAATTTGCAATTTGCAATTTTTTATACATTCCTATTGGCTATTGCAAAGTGAAATAGCCAATAGGAATATAGCTATGCATTCCTATGCTGTTGTTTTTTCCTGTTTTTTTTATACATTCCTACTGGCTATTTCAATTTGCAATTTTGCAATTTGCAATTTGCAATTTTTTATACATTCCTATTGGCTATTGCAAAGTGAAATAGCCAATAGGAATATAGCTATGCATTCCTATGCTGTTGTTTTTTCCTGTTTTTTTTATACATTCCTACTGGCTATTTCAATTTGCAATTTTGCAATTTGCAATTTGCAATTTTTTATACATTCCTATTGGCTATTGCAAAGTGAAATAGCCAATAGGAATATAGCTATGCATTCCTATGGTGTTTTTTTTTTTTATTCTGACAGCAGCAGAACCGCCCTGCCAATAAAAAAACAGTTGGGCAGAGCTAGCGGTCACTGCTAGCTAAGCCCAATCATTTTCTAATTTATTTTTTTTACTTTTTTTACTTTTTTTCTATTCTGCTCGGTACCTCTGTGGTACCGAGCAGAATAGCCGAACTGCGGTTCGGCATCTATGAGAATAGGCCGAACAGCAGAGAGTAGCCTGCCGGAGGTTCGGCTCAGCCGATCCAGATGTTGGATCGGCTGAGTCGAACTCCTTCTGCACTTCGTGTCGTCCGAACATGCTGAGCATGTTCGGCCAACCCGAAGCCACATGAAGCAAGCCGATGTATGGCTGATTTCAGCCGATGTATGGCTGAAATCAGCCGTACAAGTCTGAAGTGAATAGCTGAACAGCATTCGGCTCACTTCACTTTGGGTCAGTTATTCACTCGGCTGCCTACGGCAGATTAGTGAATAGACCCCTAACTAGAAAAAGGATGGAAGTATGGGAGAACAGCCTTAATCCAAAAACAACTGCATATGAATATTGTTTACAATTGCATAATTACATTCACATAAATCCCTGGCTCTGTTTTCCCTTTGAGCTTCCTGAATCTTTCTGCCTCTTTCTGCTTCTAGCTTCTGTTTTTTGTCTGTTTTCACCAGTGAGGCAATTCTCCTGCTGCCATATGTATGCTCACCACATGGATCCCTGATAAAGACCAGGCCTTGATGAGAGTATTACACCACCAAGGGGGTTAGTGTGGGCTCCAGGTGGGTCAGTGTGTGCTCCAGGGGGTCAGTTCGGGCTCCAGAGGGTCAGTTCGGGCTCCAGGGGATCAGTGCGGGCTCCAGGGGGTCAGTGCGGGCTCCAGGTAGTTAGTATGGGCTCTCAGGCAGTCAGTACGGGCTCTAGGAGGTCAGTGTGGGCTCCAGGGGGGTCAGTGCGGGCTCCAGGAGATCAGTGCAGGCTCCAGGGGGGTCAGTGCAGGCTCCAGGGGGGTCAGTGCGGGCTCCAGGAGATCAGTGCGGGCTCCAGGTGATCAGTGCAGGCTCCAGGGGGTCAGTGCAGGCTCCAGGTGCTCAGTGCAGGCTCCAGGCGGTCAGTGCAGGCTC